GATGAATTAATAATAGTACCAACCTGAAAGTGACCTAAGCATATTGCACATGTGCAGCTTGGTATGTTGTTATCAGTCAAACTTTCCTTAGCATACTATGCAAACACAAAAAAAAATCAAACATACTTTGTATATAAATCACATGCATTTGAACAACAAATAACTGCTGGACAAATAAAAGATCTGTGGAAACCACAAAGAAAACTACACAGCACTACAATATTACTTACATCAATAATTTGATACAACATTGGGCATCCAAGGAGACTTTCAGTAAGTCCATGAAGATTGTCTGAAATACTTTAAAAAATGCATTGTTATGCTGTTGTTGCATTGTTATCCTGTGACGTACACAAATAAGATCAAAAAATTGTTGAGTTCATGAATACATGTATCTTATCTGAGCTTTTAAAATAAATTCTAGCCTGCATAGCGACCCTAAAGGGATTGGGAAGGGCCGAGCGGAGAGGGGAAGGAGAAGAAGGAAGGGCCTGCAAAAGAACCCCACAGTTTTACAAAACGCCCCCTAATTAATAATTCAAAAGCCTGTCAAATCTAACTTAAAAAAACAGCTGTTCAAATAAGTATGAGGTTACGAGGTCAAAAGTTTCAGTTTATTTACTGTCGCCGATCGCCTTCAAGGCGTTGGTTTTCAACTTGAAGATAACATTTGTCTCAAATCATATGATTGTCTTCCTTGTCCTAGAAAGGCAAATATATTTTGTAAATTCTTGTAAATTCTGGCAAAAGCAGTCCCGATACTAGTAATAGTTCTTCTAGCAGTTCTTCTAAATGAAAATTCTTAACACCAACAGGAAAAAGTCCAGAGCAAAGTCCAGGTCAAAGCTTGTCTCTGTTCCTCTTTGAGTACTGTATCAAAACCTTTTTCTTTTAAATCACTTAAAGCAAGCTCTGATTACAAAATCCTTCTTCATCGCCTACCATATTAGTAAATACGCCAACTTAATCTGGTATCTATCACTTTGACATTTGATTGACAGCTTGCTCCTCTCGACCTATAAGGAATTTACGTCCGTATTCCACGTAAATTTTGTAAAACTGTGGGGTTCTCTTGCAAGCCCTTCTTTTTCTCCTCCCCATTCTCTGCTCATCCCTCCCCAATCCCTTTAGGGTCGCTATGTAGGCTAAATAAATTCAAAATAACCCAAACACAGCATAATCGAGCCATTTTCATTGGAGCTAAGACTATGAAACAATAACAAAAGGTCAGTACCTTTCAATGTGAGCCTCAGAAAGACCTCTAGGATTCCTAATCTTAATGGAAGGCAGTTCATTTGGGTACTTTAAAGGAACAAATACAAAT